AAAGGAAAGTCATAGTGAGTATGTGACAGATCCCAGGTGCTTGATCTGCAGCCTAACTGACGGGCACCGACTATAATGTGAAATAAACCAGCTTTATTGCTATTTTAACCAGCTGACAAAAAGCTTTGAAGAGGTGATTACATGCAGGATGGAGTGCTAAGAAGAGGACAGACTCATTCCTTTACTTTTCATTAGCCACCAAATGAGAATCAAGATCAGTGACGGGCGTAGGTTAAACAGCTCTCCTGAGCACCGAAGTGAGCGGGCCTGTCGAGAAAAGAACTGCACAAACTATTTTCACTCATGTAGAGGGCATTATATTAGCACCAAATTTATATAATTAAAAGTTATCTAAAGAGGTGACCATAACAAATACAATCAAAAAGGAGATTTAGCCATGTTCACTAAAGGACTAAATGATTATCGGTTCCAAATTGGCTGGTCTGAGTTTTTCAGAAGCCGATGATTTGCTGGGATTGACCCATTAAACAATCTCTATGATTTGCGAGAATGGTCCAAAAAGAAAAAAGAAAAGAAAAAAAAAGAAAATATCCTGTAAGCAGCATTTTTTTGGTTAGAAATACCGTGTTAATGTCAAAGGTCAAGGAAAGATGGCCAGACTCAAATAACCACTAGTTATAACCAAAGTATGTACAAGAGCATCTCTGAAATCACAACACACTGAACCTTGAAGCAGATGGGCTACAGCAGCAGAAGACCACGTGTCACGGTCCTAGGCCATGTGGGCCCAGTATTCTTAGTTTCTTGTATTTTTGTATTTCGTTCCTTATTTAGGCCATGTTTCCTGAGTTGTCCTGTTGTGTTGTTCCCTAAGTGTTTTCCCTTCGTGACTCTTACCCCCTGTGTGCCCCTCTGTGTATTTATGAGCCCTCGTCTCTCTTTGTGTTTATTCCATGTTTCCCCTGACCCAGCGTTTCTAGTTCCTTGTGATGTTTGTAATATGCTACTTGTGTGATTTATTCTATGGCTTCTAGTTTTGATCCCTTGCCCTTCATGTCTCTCTGTGTCCCCTCTGTTCTGTGTAATTGTGTGTCTTTGCATGTTTGAGTTTGTTTTCTGTCACTCTGCATTGTGCATTATGTTCTCATGGTTGGTCTTTTGTTACTCCCTCTAGTCTAGTTTCTTGTGTTCCAAGCTGAGTAGTTCCCTCCGCGTATTTTGGTTCTTAGAGTCCTCTGCCTTATGGTTTATGTCTCTGTGTTTCTTAGTTGCTTTCTCCACTGTGTCAAGTTTGCGTCTCTGTATGATACTTCCTGTTTTACTTTGATGGTCCATGTCGTATGTGAATGTGTCCTGCTTTGCTTGTCTCGTCCAGCCTGATTACTCCCAGCTGTGCTCTCCTTCTGTGTCTCATTCCCTCGTTATCCCTCTGTGTATTTAAGCCCTGTGTTTCTCTGAGTCAGCGTCGCGTCGTCCGTCATGCTGTGTGTGAGTCTCCCCGTGTCTTCTGGTATGTGTTACAATTAGCTCTTCCCAGTTTAGTTTTGCATTGCTTTTGTATCACTGTTATCGTTTGTCACCTGTCAGCAATAAAGCTGCATTTTGAGTTCAGTTCTGTTTTCCCGTGAGTTTGCATTTGGGTCCTATTTTCCTGCCTGCCACACACCGTTACATGACACCACGAGGCTACTGTTTACAAAGGCTCACCAAAATTGGACCACAGAAGATTGGAAAAATGTTGCCTGGTCTGAGGAATCTCAGTTTCTTCTGCAACATTTAGGTGGTGGTATCAGAGTTTGGACATGGAGAACACGAAAGCATGAATCCATCAAACATTGTATGAACAATTCAGATTGGTGGTGGTGGTGACAACTGACCATTAAACCCCACAGCCTAGATGAGTATTGTTGCTGACCATGTCCATGCCTTTATGACCATGGCGTAACCAATCTTCTGAATGCTGCTTCCAGCAGGATAATGTTCCATGTCACAAAGCTCAGTTCTCAAACTGGTTTGCTGTACAGGACAAAGACTTAATTGTACTCAAATAGTCTGTCAGTGTCAATATGAATCAAAATCTCTCAGGAATGTTTCCAGCACCTTGTTGAATCTAAGCCACAAAGCATTACGGCAGTTATGAAAGCAAGGGTGTCCAACCCAAGACCAGCTACAGTAGGTGTACCTAATAAAGTGTCCAGGGAAGGCATGTTTGTCACTTCCCTATAAGAGCTAGCTAAACACAGGTCAATAACTGCCATAATTAAAAATTTCCAAACAGCTGGAATGTTACAATAATTGATTACAATAATTAATTGAGTACACACTAAGCAAGGACTGTGAAATATGCAAAAGCTTTTGTTCTTACTTTCTCAACCTCTGCATCGTGTCTCTGCTGCATCTTCAGTTTTTCCTCCTGATGCTTGGCCTCCAACACTTTGATCTTCATCTCGGTCTGAGAACAAAGAGAACCAAATGCCATATGTAACACTTACAACACGTTTAACACCGTGATTTAACTTTTGTCATCCTACCACCAAATATTATGAGCAAGATATTTTAACCACTAAAATCTGTGTCCCAACTGTTTTACAGACACGACACGGAATAACAGAGCCTGTCTGTCAAAGGTAACATAAATCCAGATGATACAGTTACAGCATCTCCCAAACAAGTGCAGCTGATGATCAAATAAAACCACATTAAACCTTTAAAAAAAAAAAGATTTTTCCACACACAGAGAGCTTCAAATGTGCCCAACTGTTTGCGCTGCTTATTTCTGTGTTAGGGCTGGGCTATCATACAGTTCACGGTAATACCGGTGTAATTTTGGGCAACGATAGGAAAATGAAATATCGCCATAGAATATGGGTAAAACGCGCATGCGCAGCGCCTATGTTTACATACGCACATGAGAAGACGTTAAATGAAACGGATGAACCAGAATTGGTTTGTAAAAATGCTGCAACTTCAGTGGTGTGGAACTGGTTTGGCTTTCGTCCGTCAGATACACAACAAAGCACTATTTTTGGTAGCGCATGCTAGCGGGCCGTCGTTATTACCGTGTTGTTTGGAAAATACGGCACACTTAAAATCAATCCTTTGATTTTTCTGAAAATCGACAGTGCCCTTTATAATCCCGTGTGCCTTATGTATGAATTCTGGTTGTGTTTACTGACCTCAAAAGGATTTTATGTGGTACACGGCGCTCGAAAATCTGTCAAAAAATGTTTTAGTACAACTTTGGTAAGCTACGGAGCTGCACTGCTTGATGGATTGTCGGAGCATTACGGCTACCATGGAGCCTCGCGGAGTGATACGAACTGTGCTTCAACATAATATTACTGTATTGTGTGTGTATAACCTCTTTTTAAGTTTTGTGGATATTATACATGGTTATGCTGAGGATATGTCGGCCAATTTCCACTGGAAATGCCTTTTGGTTAAACTGTCAGCAAGGAATTTGCACTGTTACGTTTTTATATAACTTTAATGCACATAAAAAACAGCTGCTTCTTTAAGTGAAAATACATTGATGGGGTTTTTTGCACTAATAAAGTTGTGGAGTTGTAAAGTATTTTGTCTAGTTTCAATTATATCGTCAGTTATATCGTTATCGCCAATTTTCAAATGTATATTGTGATAAATATTTTAGGTCATATCACCCTGCTCTACTCTGTGTACACGTTTGTTTACAATAAACAAAGTAAAAACCTGTTTGTGTGTAGTTAAGTTAATCATGCAGGGAAAGGCTGCTTTCATTCAAACACTGTTTTCAAAGGATCAAAAGTTCAACGTTGTCACGAGCATGTTGGAACAAATCTCCTGGAGCTAGAGGACGTTCACACACTGTAAAACAAAACCCTAATGATTCGTCACTTTCTGTAATTGACTCAAACAAAAAAGAAGAAAAAGAAAAAAAAATCTATGTGTTTTTCATCTTCAAAGAGCCATTAATCATCACACAACTACATCTGAAGAAGAGAGACAAAGCTACAAAATGACAGCTTTTTGACAAAACGTGGTTTCTAAATATTTAGTGGCTTAAACTTAAGCTAAGAATTTATTGATTTATAAAGCTGTCTCAGCTTTATAAAGATATAAATGTGCTTTTTACACACTTTCAAAGCTAAGAAAAGAAAACAGAAAAAAGAAGAAGAGGACACTTTTTGATCCATAGCCTAGTCTTACCAATAAGATGTGAAAGTATGAGCAGATAATACTCTAAGCCTTACAGTATTAAGGAATTTGTACTTACAGCTTTTGACCTGTGCATCTGTGGTCCAAAACACACTGTATCCTACCACTATTTAGCTGCCACTAGTAACAGTGATCATCGCTTTTATGAAAACACTCACTAATAATTACCTCAGAGATGGAGGTTATGTTTTTGGTAGCGTTCGTGTGCGTGTCATTCTGTCTGTAAACAGTATAGCTCAAAAAGCTTTGAATTCATTTGCTGAAGACTTTATAAGGATGTGGATTGGGCCTGTGTTAACAATCTATTAAAATTTAGCTTACATCCACCAACACCTCCCATTCACATGGATATCAGAACATTACCCAGGTAAGTGACACACCTGGTCCATCCATGTGATATAAAAGGAAATGTCATTGATCAGACCAGGCCACCTTCTTCCGTTGCGCCGTCCAATTTGGATACTGGGGTTAGCAGCTATGCAGCCCCACACACAACAAACTAACACATTTCCATCATAACCAGCATTAACCTTTTCAGCAATTTGAGCTATAATAGCTCGTCTGTTCGACTGCACTGCGCAGGAAAGCCCTCGTTCATCACATGGTTCAGTGAGCCTTGGCTGCCCATGACCCTGTCGCTGGTTCACCACTGTTGGACCACTTTTAATAGATACTGACCACTGCAGACCAGGAACACCAAATATAAGCTGCAGTTTTGGAGATGCTCTGACCCAGTTTATTCAGCCATTTAATTTGGCTGTTTCCAACTTGCTCAAATCTTTACACTTGCCTATTTTTCCCAATTTCAGCATCAACTTTGCGGACAAAATGCTCACTTCCTCCCTAATACATCTCACTAGCATGTGCCATGATTAAGAGATAATAAGTCACCTGCCATATGTCATAATGTTATGCCTGACCCGTGTAAACGGGTCCTCCTACCCATTAGAATACACATCAGTTTAATGCTAAAGTAATGTTTTCTCGAATAAAGATTTCTGTTCCCAGGCCTTCACCAGTACCAGCTTGGAGACTGCCAATAAGAATAAACCCACAAAACCAATAAAACATATCAAACCTCTTTGTGTGAGCGTTAAAATTAAACATGTGTAAACATAAACTGGCTGGATAAGTAATGAATTCATTACTCAAACAAACCAGAATTTTCTATAATTAGCTACTTTTGGCTACTCCCTTATTTACAAGGGGTCGCTACAGCAGGTAACTTTGCATGTTTGATTTGGCAGATTTTTACAACCTTCCTGGTGCAACAACCATACAGATTTGTCTCTCTTTCTGGAGACAGGGTGACCTTGCAAAGGCTGATGTCAATCTGTCACATGTCATGGAATAATAATGCTATTTTTATTCCACCTTTGGAATAAGTATTTCTCACATTTTCCTAGTTAGATTGCCGTTAAGTGCCAACAACACACGGAGGCACAAAGAAAGTCTTTGACACAAAGATGACTGACCATTTCCTTTGATGTCCCTACTCATGTTTAGTCACTGTCTGTTCTGGTGTCTTAATCAACCCTAAAGCAGGGTGACAGTGCTCCTCCTTTGAAAGTGCGGCTGCGTGTATGACTATGTCAGCAGTTATAACGTCCCAGGGCTAGATCTTGTTTGTTCTAGTCATCAAAAACTATTAAGTAGAAAATTCCCACAACATTACTTGGCACACTCAAACCACATTAGACCTTCTCTCTTAGAGAGAATCAAAGGGAAGTAACTGTGATGTCTGAGTACAGACATGATTTAACTACACAGGTGTTTAAGTGTACACATACAATACAATAAAAACACCAACAACATACTAAACATATAAAAAATTATAAATACATGTCAGCAATTCACTTTACATTGAGAGCCGTGTTAAAAATAAAATTCCAACTAAAATACTTGAATTGCCTTCTAGACGATTCTCCTCATTATTGTATTTCAGCTACACTTAGACACTGTATCCTTGACAAAGCTCTGTTAAGTATTCTGCTTCTTTTTTCCTTGATTTACTGCCATTTCTTGTGCAATTGAGGGGACCACAGGAGACGTGTCAGAGAAGAAAGGAAAAGGCAAAAGAAAAGGAGGGGGTAAGAAAAGACAGAGGGAGAGATGGGGAGAGAGGTAGCAGTGATTGAAAAGCAAAGGAGTTAGTAGAGACCTGATTCTGCCCTCCCCCCGTCCCCTCTACTCCCCAAAAAAAGAACGTGTGGGGGTGTCACTTTCTCATCCTCTGTTCAAATGCTCTTTGGAGAAAGTTTGCCAAACTAGATCAGGGGTGTCTGAAACTTGTTTATAAAAGGCGTCGGTGAAGGAAGGAGGAGGAGGGATGTCGTACACCTAAGGCTTTTGAGACAGCTTCAATCAGCCCAACTGGGTGGTACAGCTTTTTCCCTTTTCTCTTCTTCAGAGTTGTAGCGAGCGCTGTAAGATGCCATGTTTTTTGACACTTCGCTCTTGAAAGGATGAGAGGCTAGAGAAAGAGAGAGAGAGACGGAGGAACGAAAGCGAGGACGGGTACGAGAAAGGGAAGGAGGTTGCTTTTTCTGCTCTCGAAACCATCGCGGGGTCAGGGCCTTTTCCCTCGGGGGGGACATGTTCACAAATCGGCTGCTAACTGTTTAGGCTCCACAAAGCAAGGTTGCATTTGTGCATTTCCTTCATCGCGCTTGAGATGTACAATGTCCCGGTGCGTCTTTCATCCTCAGTAAACACAGATGCTCTAGGATAGTCGGTATACAGCGCTGCACTATCTGCTCAGGAGCAGCTAGATGCCATTTCCACAGTCTGACAAGAAGTTAATTTACTGTAGTCTGTCCAGATTGTACAGGCCGGATAAAAACTTTGGCTAAAATTCGACTCTGACATGTGAGGAAATAAATAAATAAATAAACCGCAGCTCTGAATACAGAGTAAGTAAACACACTACTTAAAAATTTCTAACATGAAAACATCAAATACGCAAACTCAAAAGCTGAGCAGTAACTTCATCATCTTGGAACACTGCAGATCCTTTATATCTTCTAGCCTGAAGCGCCATACTGAACTAGTCCCTTTAAAAAATACTAAGACTCAATAGGTTACTCTTTTTTTTTTTTTAGCTTTGAAAAGCGATCAGATAAGGCAGGCTATGGCCCTCTAAGTCACAGGCTGTGAGCTCAAGCTCCATCCTAAGGGTCTTAGAATAGAGAGACTGCATCATTATGGCATCAGAATCCGAAGCGTACTGATCTTCATTCAGGGAATTGTGACCATTAGAATGGTACTGCTTGACACTAACACACTGCCAATCCCTCAGGTCAGGTACCAAGGGGGGGGAGGGCATGAACGCACAAACTGCAGAAGAAAGTCTGTGTATTTTAGTCAGTCTGTCAGTATGTTCCACAATTACAAGACATAGGCCTATGTATAGCGTAACCTGACTCATCAGTCGACATTTAATTGAATTTCCAAATAAAGGCCCAGCCCTCTTAATGCTAAGCACTGCTAGAGCGCGCTGTAGGATTAGCAGGACTTTAGCAGGACATTTTCCACATTTTCCCCTGTAAGTGTGCACATATGTATAAGCTAAGTTACTTAAAGCAATGGCAGCTTGCAGGGAAGTTTCTCAGCTGCCACTCATTGTTCCACAAGGGAAAAAAAAACAGTCTGCATTTTTAGTAATGCAGTCAGTAGATTAGCAGGAGGATGAGCTTGGTGTGAAAGCTGAGATGTTCGTTAAGCTGCCACCAGCTTAATGGCATGTGGCGTGTATAACACTTTAAACCTGGGTAAATTTCCAACTATGCTTTAGGGATTACGGGGAAGTGATGTCACTGTGATTTCCCAGACCTAACCCAGACAGCCACGGAATAGCAGAGCCGGACAAGATTACGAGAAAAGTTTCTGCATGCCAGCAAAGTCAAAGGGCAACATGGGTTGACTACGAAGAAGGTGCTTTACCCGTACAAACCTCGCAGTCTGTAGATTCAATGTAACAGCTCATATTTGACTCTTACCTTTTGCTGTAAGTCTGTGTTTTTTTCAGCATTTTAAATACCTCACTACAGTGGCCACAGACTGGTCCAAAACACAAGCTGCAGCTTAATACTGTGCCTGAATAAGGAACTGCTCATGGTATGTTCCATTTTTTAAATAAATAGTACAAACAGCACTCCCATCATCGGGTAACTGACTGACTTTGAAATTCACCTATGTGGTACTTTATGCTACGGTCACACTAGGCCAAATAGTGGCTAGATTCTGCTACACGATCATAAACGACTGCGACTGTGCGCCTTTGAAACGGATGAAATGGACTCGGACCGGGTCAGCTAACAACTCACAGTTACAGCTGCTGTCTTCTGAGTTACTTTGGTGCATCAAGACAGCGATACAACAGCAATAAGACAGATTCAGTCTGCTATCAGTTTGCGACCCGATGGGGCCAAGTTGGAAATGACACGTGTAACTGTGATAATGTGGCGGTTAACTGTGATACATTGGTGAAAATTGCAAATCTTTTATTGTCTACATACACAAAACTTTGCACTTTGTTTACAATCAGATTCCAGCCAGAACCCCACAGATCTAAAACAGAAATTCCTCTACAAATATCAAAGTATCCAGAGAAGGACACGTATGAGTGCAACAAATTACAAATTGTTGGTACCAAATGCATTTGTTGTCCATCCGTAATGTAGTAAGCCTAAATCACATACGCTTATATTTAACAATCTAGATGCACTTTTCTTAGAAAACCATAGTCTCAATACAAGTTGACACTAAGTGCAATGGATTTCCTGGACTTTTAGTATTTCCCACATTGCTAGCATGTGACCTCGGTAAACGGCTGGCGCCGTTTGCCATGGCTTTCTTCCTAAAAATCCATGCTCATATTCAAGGCCGTTCACATATGAACTAAATCTCACAGCTCACACCAGTGTCAG